TTTAGTAAGGTGCGTGAACTAAAGATATTGTGTTTAGTTTAGTAAGGTGCGAGAACTAGGGATATTGTGTTTAGTTTAGTAAGGTGCGAGAACTAGGGATATTGTGTTTAGTTTAGTAAGGTACGAGAACTAAAGATATTGTGTTTAGTTTAGTAAGGTACGAGAACTTTACCTTCGGTCTATTTTGAGAAGTAGTTTATTTGTGAGGATGCGTGAGTAAATAAATAGCGAGTTTCTTGATTTATACAATATTGATTTTACGGTGTGTCAAACTTACTATTGACTAAACATACTTTATATTTCTTCTTCCTTTTTTTTTTTTTTGCTGATGCACAGTATATCCTGACGCCCAACTACTTCTACTTACGTTAAACCACAAAATTAAAAACAACAAACGAAGTGAGTTTAAATAATCCAAGTGCCAGATTAAATTATTTTGAGACCTTGCTCATTATGGAACTTTGCACTCACTATTGGGTTGAGGGATTTGTAACGGTTTATTAAAAAAAAAGTACAAAGCATATTTATTCTCTTGATGCCGATATTAAATTTGACACAACGGAATTGTTGTTTGTTTGTTTTTAATTATGCACAAAGCTACACAAGGGCTATCTGTGCTCTGCCCACCACGGTATCGAAACCCGGTTTCTTGCATTGTAAGTCCGCAGACATACCGCTGTGCCACTGGGGGGCGACACACCATAAAATCGGTATTACATACTTAGTAGTGGTGCAGAAAGGTAATTTTTTAATGCTATAAAATAATTATTTCAATAAGTTTTGTAGAAAAGAGTAAAATATAATCAGTAACTTCGTGTATTTCTATAAGTATAAAAGTCGAAAGCTAATAATATTTTGCTCCACAGTTCTACTTCCTTATTTGTGCCATTCATCACTACCAAGCCATGGGCAAGAAGCTAACCACGACCTCCGACATTATTTTATGTTGAAACTAGGATGATCGACTTCCATCAGCGATGCCTTTCTAATTACGTCCCAGTTGATGTTGGAATTATATTCCATCCCGTGAGATGTGTTTCTTTCCACTTTTATGTTGAAACTAGGATGATCGACTTCCATCAGCGATGCCTTACTAATTACGTCCCAGTTGATGTTGGAATTATATTCCATCCCGTGAGATGTGTTTCTTTCCACTTTTATGTTGAAACTAGGATGATCGACTTCCATCAGCGGTGCCTTACTAATTACGTCCCAGTTGATGTTGGAATTATATTCCATCCCGTGAGATGTGTTTCTTTCTACTGGAAACGATGGCAGGAGACTTGCAACTTAGGCATTTGCTTTGAGATATGTGGGAATAACGTTGTGGAGAACAAACAGAGATAGTGGAAACGCGGGTGGTTATAGGCTATCTTTGTAAACACACGCTGTGGGCAAAAACAAACCTGAACCCAGAAGTATTAGATAAAACTTCATCATATATATGTTTCGGTTTTCTTTCGATTTACACATATGTAGAAGGTCTCTAGGTACAGTCTTCAGTTTTTAACAATGTGAATTTTTGAGTTTTATCTGTAGGTTTAATATAATTTTTTATTCCCCACAGTTTCGCATCTGTAAATGCTTTCCAGAATAGAACTACAAAGCAAAAGAACCCGAATAACAAACACATAAGGAACAAAAACACACTGTATATATATATATTGAACTTTCTTGACCTTTTCCAAAGAACATTGTAATTTCTTTATTTTTCGCGTATCTTCCCAAAGTGTCATGATAGAAACTGTTCGTGTGTGATAAGTATAAAATGTATATTGATGGTAAGAATTTCTATAGTAAAATTAATACGAAACTTAACGTTCATCACTTTGGTAGCTGATCTATGAAATATAGACTTGATTGTGTTGAGATCATTACAAGGTTGTTAATAAAGATATTCTGAATTCGGTTTTGTAAAATCTGAGAAAATTTACAACAGATCGTCGGTTAATAATTTAGCAACATCATTCAAGCCCATGAAGAATTCGAAAACATATTGACTTGACAAATTTCAACTGAAAAAACTTTTAAATAAATTGCTTTAACATATCATAAATTTTCCTTTTATGGTCATTCCAATTTGGATATTAATTTGCCACGACAAAGCCGCGTAAAAATATGGTTAATATTGTCACAAAGTTTTTAATCCACATATCCATAAAATACAAAATGTTTCAATAGTGTATTCAACTTGAATATATATATATACGTGTGTATGTGTGTTTGTTTGTGTAAATATATAAAATAATCATTAAAGAGTTTTTTTATTAAGTTTCCGTTGTCGTTCCTAGTTGTTACCTTAAAAGTTAAAGTCATAGCGGATAATGCCTGTGGTAATAGCTCCCAAATGCGTTAAGGATATCCCATCTACCAGACAAAATCCGAAGGTTGATGTTAAACTAGCCAGTAACTATGGAAAGTAAATTAATGAAGAGTATGGAGTTGAGTACTTACACCCACAACGTCTTAACTCCTACTGCCCTTCAACCTCCACCCTTACAAAGGAAAATAAAAATAAATGTTCTTAAAAGAACTACAAATCCTACCTTAATAATTCTTACGTAGTTCATATATACCCATCCTTCTCCCTTTCTTATGAAAATGTTTTCAAGTATAATAGGAGAAAGCCGAGACAAGTCCATCTACTTGAAGTTAGTCTTTCCGTTCCGGTATACTGAATAAAATTATAATTTTAAATTTAGCTACTTAAAAGCAGCTAACGACCTCTAATGCACACAAAAGATATTTTACGTATCGAAATTTTATTTTATTTAATACTTTCATATTTATTATAAAACAGTATAATTTTCTTTTAATTGCCAGTATTTGTAACCATCATTTTTCAGTTTAATTATGAACAATACAACAGTATTCATAAAAGAATTATAATTATTACAAACTATTAAGAATATTTTCAACTGAGATATAATGATGCATTTTAACACCATGCACAGAATAACACTATTGGGTGTGGGTAGACCGAAGATGGGAAATTACATTTTCTCTTTTATCAAAAATAATCAGCTTTGCTTTGCCTTCTACAAATTAATGTCTAAATCTAAATAATTAGCATGAACATCATTACTATTGCTTTTTTCTGTTACAAGTTCTTTCGGATATATTACGTTTGGTGTAAAAAATTGAAGTTATTTATGGAGATCATATCATCTATGTAACGGAAGGTGTAGATGTAGAAATTAAGATTTAATACTTGTTTCAGAAATGAGTTTTCATAAAATAACAAATACAAATTGGCCATATATGAAGAGAAGTTCTCTCCCGTAGGAATACCCACTGTTTGTTTATATACTTGTTCATTGAAAGTAATATAACTATTATATACACAGAAATGATGTATATTTATACATTCAACTTTAGTAAATTTAAATTTGGGAATGCTTATTTCTGTCTTTACAAAATTATCGAACAAGTCATTGATTACTCTGATTAATTCTTTCAACTGTTACGACTGCGGAAGTCACGTGACCCTGGTGGCACGTGATGAATTTCTCGAATGATCGGGGAGGCCCGAGTTTGTTCGAGACGCCCTCTTTTTAGTATATAAACCTGGCAAAGAAAGCCTGCTGCATTGAATGAAAAGAGTTCCGGGTAATTTACGATTCTGTGTCGAGCTAGCGTGTGAAAGCGAAGCTATCGAGATTGTGAATCGCTGTGTATTTATAGCGTGTATTATAAAAATAGTTAAGTTTAAAGTGACGAGCAACGTTCTGATTGTGAAATTACTGTGTACAAAAAGTTTGTACCGAGGAAGAATAAACTGGTTTAATCAAGAAAGGACTTGAATCGCTGAAGTTCCTCGGAAATAATTTCTACCGGAAATTAACAAACAAGCAGATACGTAACAATACATAGACATAGAGTTCCTGAAGCATTTAAACTATTTAAACATTCCAAAACTGGAATGTTGTTTTTAATAACCCAAATATAATTATTCCGATTATTTGAAAACAGTATTTTATTTTTTCAAACACAGCATCCAGAATATTATTAAGAACAATCGAAACAGATTTAGTAACTGTATTTAAAGAATTTGTTATAAATCTGAACTTAATGGGATTTGTATGCAATGTTAGAGTTGCCTATACAAATGGCAATTTAGAATATGAATAATCTGTATATATATTGCATTTGTAATGCCTTTCTTTATATTAGTAATTATAATAATAATATTATTATTCTTTAAAGTACTTTGTGCGTATATTTTTTTACATATAAAGCCAAAATTACATCCTGCTTTATCAATCGGAGTAACAATAAATTGTTCTTGAACTTCTTTTATCTTATTTCTGAAGACATTCAGAGAAATAACTATTTTATATCGAGATAAATTTAAAGTTCTTAAACCATTTTTTATGGAATTGATAAAGTATAATTTCCGTTCATTTAGGGCGTTTGACTGGCAATCTGAGGGTCAGAGGTTCGAATCCCACTCCCACCAAACATGCTATCTGATTGTGAAAAATATCCTTAAAATCACTATTATTATATTAATTATTACAGTAACAAGGTAATTTATCAACTTCTGTTGAATTAAATAATTCAATAAAGTTTTATAGTTAAATATAAGAGGTCTTATAGATTATTTCTATATTTAAAACTTACTATAGGTTGAACTGAGTTAATGTATATATAAATAAAGAGAAAGCTTTTTATCCGACTGTAGAAATTAAAAATTGCTTTGATAAGTATAAATACATTGATGAACCAATTTAGTAGCATAAAATCTGTTCTTTGGTCTCAAACACAAAGTCCATAAATAGCTTTACAAAAAATACAGTTTAAGTTACAGACATGTTAATTAACATAAATATAGCAAAATTTACAAAAATAAGGATGATTAAAAATTTTTATCTCATTTACAAAAGCTACGTGTTTTACACAGTGAAAGTCCTACAAAATAATCCGTTTTTCAGATACGTGTTTTACACAGTGAAAGTCCTACAAAATAATCCGTTTTTTCAGGCACGTGTTTTACACAGTGAAAGTCCTACAAAATAATCCGTTTTTTCAGGGCACGTGTTTTACACCGTGAAAGTCCTACAAAATAATCCGTTTTGTCATATTACCTATTCAACTTTGCACACGTGCATTTCACGCATCATAGAAAAGGTTTTGTACGTGCAAAGAAGGCTCTTAGTCTTATTGTTTGTGAATATTTTGAAAATATAATCCAATGTAATGAGATACTACTTTGTTACTTTCTGTTTCCTTTAAATGTTCTCTTAGTTAATTTTAACTTTTTATAATAGTTAGCTTGGATAACTCACTAACGAGTAAATGTACTTTGAAGTAAATTTATAGTTCTTAAAAACCTCGTTACTGATAAGATTGATTCTTTTTTTAAATGATTACAATAACATTGAACTAGATACACATTGGAAACTAGAAGTTTAACCGAACAGAAGCTGTGTTTTTAAAAAAGTCTTTACATGTTATGTAAAAATGGCTTTAATTAAATTATTATATGGAGGATGAAGCGATCTTGATGAAGATGCTAAAATAATGTTTTTAAGTTTTAAAAAATGTTTAAAAGAAAAATTATCAATCCAAGTACAATATTTCAATTTGTTAATTTAACATAATTATCCAACAATATAGTCATTATTAAATAAAATGTTTAGAGTTATTGAAATAAAATAATTTTAATAAGCGTCATTTATAAACATTGTTTATTTGTTCTTTGATATTTAGTTAGGGTCACATTATCTATGACAAATAACGTTAAGTAAATAAGGATTTGGAGCTTTAGATTAATATTAATATTATATTCTTAAATGTTAAGACCCTTAAAGACTTATATAGCAAAAATAAATTTAAAGAAAAAATAGCGTCTTCAAAGAAGAATTGTTGTGGCGTGAACGCATTTTGCTGATGAAGCATGATTGCGAGTCGAGCTCCCTAACCACCTAGTTTTTAAAAATTTTGTTTACACGTTCAATGTTTTGTTGAGTTTTGGGAATTCTGTTAAAGTGCAAAAACATGGATACCTAATTCACATTTTTGAAGGAGGAGTGTTATAAAGTTGTCTTGCTGTTAATAAATGCATAAACAGGGATAACTAATTAAAACCTTTGAAGGTGGGGTGAGTAGTCATAGTATCAACATTGTCGGAGATGACTTTTAGTTATGAAGTAACTTTTAGAAAGAGTATATCTTAATGGCCAAATATTCAATTTTTTTTTCTGGCTAGATAAGAATACGAATTGAGTGAAATTCCACAAATTAATGTATTTTGTCAAATGGCTTTAGGGACATCTTGATTTTTCATTTAACTATTAATTATCACATAGCAAATGAAAAATTATTATGTAAGTAATTGAAAAACAATCATTAAAAAAAGGTATGGCTTGGATTTTTAAACCCGCA